TGTCAATCAGCCAGTGGGGTGGATTGTCGGGATCCTTCCCGGCTGCGGTGCAGCTCTGCGCTCTCACCATATAGTGGGCAATAGCAGGCTATATACTGAGTTTTGGGTCACCGGAGGACATTAGTCCTCCGGTGACCCTGAAGAGAACTATGATCAAAAAGGTTTAGGCGATAGTTGTACTTTTAAAGAAGACCTGTACTCTGCCCAAAAAATTTAAGGGAAAAAAAACCAAGCCACTAGTATTGCCTGTAAGCTCAGTGCTCTTTTTGTCCCATTACTGGCTGACCATGCCTCGATCCACAATTTGTGAAAGTTTGGAGGTAGCCATCTTGGTAGAGGAGCAGGACTTTGCTTCCTTAGCGTATAAAGTAATAATCAAGATGTAGGAAAAGTACATAAAGCACAGATCCACAGAATGAAAAAGGTAAAGAGCAAGGAGATGCTTACATTGCAGGTCCTTAGGTAAAGATCTCAGATGTTTATACCCTTGTTAACACATCCTTTCATTTCATTGCTAATATTCATTTGGTGTTCAACTATGTTTCATATTGGGCATATTTGTGTTTACAGTGCCCCTTAGAGACATCTGTTGCGCTCTGTCACCGTGCAGGGAGCAATACAGGGAGCTATAGCAGCTCAATCTATGTCTTCTTCTCTTTTCTCCCCTAATCAGTAAAAGTTTGCCAGAGAGCAAGAGAAGTGCAGGCATAGAGCAGCACAAAGCTGCCTGCTTCTTCTGGTGAGTATCCATCCAGATGCTCTTCATATCCTGCCGGCTGCACCCTGCTCATAGAGGGAGGAGGGAGGAAGGCAGCTTTCCTGCGCTCAGTCATCCTCTGGTAACAAAAGGAGTCAGTCAGCCTGATTGTATAGATTTGTGGCCAAACTATCTGCATTACCTTGTCACAAGTGCACCAAAAAGAGTCTTAAAAAGAATAGTTTATCGTATCTATTATTTTGACTATGTATCTTGCTATAATTGCTATTTGTTTTTAGATTGTCAGGAAGTGCTGGTTGATCTGTTAGTCTCATTGATGAGCCACAGGATTACATCAGAGGAACTTACTCTCTTAATGCGTTGTTTTCTGGAAAAGAGTATACCCAGTGTAAGTATCCCATCCTATACTTTTTTGTCACATTAAAGTTTTTACCACTTGTTTCCTGTGAGTGTTCATTATATAAAGTACTGAATGATCATCCCTCACCAGCGTCTTATAGCTCATGATGATTTTCAGCACTGTCCTTGTGTTCATATAACATGCATTTCAGTTCTTCCCTGTGTGCTTCAAAGGGAGGATTTTGCAACCTGGATGAATGCATCAGGAAAGAACATGTACCGTATCTCAGGTCCAACCCTTATGGAATTTTGTACTGCAATGCCCTGCACCCATTGCTCACTTAATGTTCTCATGCCCATCACGTAATGATTTTGACTGGTTTTCCTTATCGGAGAGTCTCTTAACATAATGTTTATATTGTTATATACAAAAAATAATAAATATTATACTAAAGGATACTGTTTTAAGAATGAATGCATTGTACCCAACTGCTCTTTATATTTGTGGCATTTGGTTCTTAAAAACTTGCTGAAGTACTAGATGGGAGTGCATTGCTTTTTTTTTAAATTTAAATTTTTTTTTGAGGGATATTACTAAAGTCTGTTTTTCAGTTGTCCTCATCATGATTTGTGTTCTAGGAGATGCTCTTAAAAGGAATTTTGAATATTACAGAGGCTAACAGCAACATCGTTCCTCTGAAATACTTGACCTTTCCCCTTCAACAAAGCACAGGTGGGGTGACTGGTACAGCGCAGAAATCTCCTTGTTGTACCTCTGGAAAAATGAGTGGATTCTTCAAAAGAACAAAAGTTTGGCACAGTAAAGATATGCATGGAGACACTTTACTTTCATCCTGGCACATCTCACCTATCCATTTACCTTTGGTTGGCCAAAACTGTTGGCCACACATGTCAGATGGATTTAGTTTCACAATGTGGTTGAAAATGGAGTATAGTCTGGATCTAGAATATCTGATTAAAGGAAAACACATAAAGAAAAGGAATAAGATGGTTCCCATTCAGCTGCAAAACACAGGTAGTATATCAGTGATTTTTTAAAATTTCTTTTGTTGTTTTGTGAAAAGGGAATGGCTTTACTTCCGAGTTAATCACTCTGTTAGCCATTAAGTAAAATAATTGTAGAAAAAATACTAGGGATAATTGTAAGGCTGTAGATGGTGTCTTGAGGATATTAGAAAACCGACCTATTTCAAAATACCAGTTTATAAGATGAATACGGACTCTTGAGAATTAGAGGCTTTCAATATGTAAACATCCATTTAATACTTTTTTTCCACAATTGTAATGTTTATACTTCTGGTAGTCACTAAAAAGTACATTTGACAGGAGAATAATCTTAGTTTGTTTTTTCATTAGTGCGAAATGAGCAGAATGAATAGTAGTGGTACAGCAATGAATGGCACCACCACGCCCCCTCCCACCCCAGAACACGGGAGGCCTGGTTTATTCAATCCATGCCTGGTGTGAACCGGCCCTTAGTGTAGGCTGTGATTGCTGGCCCCCTGAAAATGCTAGTTGCTTGGCTGTCTCTGGCTGCAATATGAGACAGTGACCTGGAACAAGTATGCAGCAGGGTGGGTCAAAGGTGGACTATGAAATCCTGATCTGCCTTTGGATCATCATGACAGCTAGGTAACTTTTTCTTAAGAAATGTCAGCAATGGAAACCTACATAATTGTCAGAATACTGGTTTCCTGTAAGATCAAGGCCTTAAACGAGTCAAATCTAAATGCCTCTTCTTTTTTGTCTATTCTTCAAGTTTTTACCATCATTATTTTAACAACATTGTCGTACAAATTGACTTTCTCCATAAAATCCCATACAACCCTAAATATTGCCCCCCACATCCATCCTTCTCCTTTCCCCACTATGTCCCCATCCAACCACCTCCAGGCCCGGGGAGCCAAGTCAGGAGCCCCCATCCTCTATTCTACCCCAAAGTGCTTGTTGTGATATATATTACCGTATTCTAACCTATTTCAAATCCATGTAAGAATGCCTTTCTGTGTTGCATACTTCATCTTTATCGTGTTATTTTGTGTTTTTATTCTTCTTCCTAAATTTCTAAGTGCTAATTAAACAAATTATCAGAGCTCTTGTGTAACCATGTTACTCTTCTTTTTTTATGTGTAAAAATTAATCTACTTAACCCACTTCCCATTGTCGATCCCTCTACTCCTTATCCTCATCCTATTATGTATCCTTAAACCACTCCCCCATTTCTTCTCTCCTCTTCCCCTATCTACACCTTGTTATGTTGACCCTATTACCTACCCCTCCATACTTCCCCTCCCCCCTTCTCCCCCCGTCCCTATGCGGATGGGTGCATGATACCAAATTAACCGCCAATTCATCTTCAAATACACAGATCACATCGACACTCAGCCCTCCCCTCCCCCCC